TTCGCTCCGGCCAAAGTAGTGATTTATAGATGACTAGATTGGAAATTCCGCGAGGAATACGATAGTGCAGGTCAAAAATGCTTGGCACACATAGGGAGGGAGTAAATCGCGAAAACCCGCCCCCCTCGCGAATTTCTCGATTTCTATGATAGATATGAAAAAATGTTTTAAATAAAAGTTGTTCAGAATGTAATTTTAATAAAAAAAAAGCACTGAACATATCTAAGATAGATAAAAAGTTATTCGCGACTGAAGCTTCACTATTGACAAAAGCTTCAGTCGCGTCTAAGGAAATTAATAAAAATACTAAATGTTAGAAATATTACTTTTTGGCGATTTATTTAGAAAAAGGAGATATTGAATTTCATTTTTAGAGAAAAATTTTTTTTTTTCATTGATTTTTTCATTATTTTTATAAACAATGAATTATTTAAATCATTTCCATTTTGGTTCAAATGCACCGATCAGCCCGATTTTGGGCTCAAAATGTGCAGAATTAAAAATGGAACATTTCATCCATGCAAAGTTTTTTATTATTTTGCACCTGTTAAAAGTTATACAGGTATAAATATTTGGTAAGTGTAGCAGCTCCACGTATTTAAAAGTACAACAGTAATTGTTGTAATTATTATAAGATTACTTTTCATCTATTTATTAATTACTGAATATTTATCATTAAATTACTTCATTAGTAATGGTCACTAATTTAAATTGACCAATACCAATGGGTATAACAGTAACTTTTTTATTATTAATATAATTATTTATATTTTGAAATTTTTAAATTTAATAAGAAAAAAATTTTAGCATGAGTACTTCGTATACTTAATTTAAGTATATAATATACTTGCAGTGAAGAATTGATATACTTGAATCAAGTAACAAGTATTTTTTTATTAATAAAAAAGGATTCATAATGTGAGAACATGGTGTTTAAAGTGTAAAACAGCATTATACTTAGCATAAGTACGCTTTATACGGGATCTCCGTATAAAATACACTTGTGGTAAGTAAGGAAGATTCTCAGTGTAAGAAAACTATATTATCAACTGAAGTAAACTTTGTAATCTTCTTCTATTATCTACCTACTTGAGATAAACAAAATATTTACAAAAATGCAGTAATCGCTATTCTTGGTATAAATTAATATTATATTAGGATTGAGTGATGAAAAATTTAAAATCAAGTTAATGTTATTATGATTGTACAGTACACGTTAAACTTCATTTTGATATAAAATGTACTTGCATCAAAAATAATTATACTCAAATTGAGTATATTTTGTGTTTGCCGCTAGTATACTTTCTAGCTATCACATTTTTTCTGTCAGTGTAATTATAATATTAACATGCTAAAAGTAATCGTTTACAACGATTTGATTTTTTTTTCTTCAATTTATTTATTTAATTATTTGACGCCGAGTCGGAAAACCTTTAAAAAGGGTTATAAACATTTTTTTAAATACAGTTCTATGAACGTAGCTTTTTTTTAACCAATTTAAAAATATTCAAAAGTAGCCTTAAATATAACTTTTAAAAAAATTAAACAGCATTTATGTCCAGTACTGTACATGTACACTCGAGAGTAGAGATGTGAATTTACCGGTAATAGAAAATTCGGTAATTACCACGTAAAATTACCGGTATCTGACGGTATTCTGACGTCAAAAAATTCTGAATGTAAAATTTACCGTCAAGCCGTCGGTCAGCGTAATTACCGTAAATTACCGGTCATTCGCATCTATATAGATGAATATGATGAGCTTTTTACCGAGGAAATGGCTTGCTTTCGAACTTGCTTGCCAATTTGCTTAAGTTAATTTTGCTTTCTGCACTTGTTAATTTAAAACTAATTAATTATTATAAGATGAAAAAAAAATTTTGTAATTTGTAATAGAAAAAATATTTTACATTTTTGACTGTTAGGACAGAAATAATAAATATATTGAAAATTATTATAAACGTTTATTTAGTTAAGTTTTTGGTACATTTTTTTTTATAAAATAGATAATCCTTCGTTATTACATATTATAAAAAATTTGACTTTTTTAACTTTTATGTAAATTATTTATGAAAAAATAAAACCATATAATCTATAGTTTCTATCAACTAGTAATATCACATAATAATTGACATATTTCATTAGGAAATAACAAGTCTAATACTGATTCAATTCCATCAACATCACTAATTAGTCTTGAGTAAATTCTTCTTCTAAAAATTCAACTTCTTCATGCTCAGCACAAATTTCACTTATTTCATCCTCTCCTTTATTACTTTCCTCATCTTCTTCCCATTCTTCTTCTGTATTTTTTGGTGAAGGATTAAGTAATTTTAAATTTCTTGCAATGTATGTTATTTTTCCAGCTCTATCGATACTTAACTTATTTCTTTTAGATGAATGAATCCATCCTTGTGTACTAAAGGAACGCTCGGTTGCAGCTGATGTTGCAGGTAAAGTCAATATAGCCACAGCTATTTTGCTCAACGAAGATTTTTGGCAAATACTTTGCCACCATTGACATGCTGAAGTGATTATACTTGCTCGCTTAACGTAGTCGTAACTCCACATACTTGATTCTGACACATAATCTGTTAAATCTTTGAATACCTTATCACTATTTAGATTTAATTTATCACCAAGATTTATAATTAATTGATGAGCTTCAACCATTTCTGACCTATTTAAATTTTTTCCTTTTAATTGAGGATCAAGTAAGTTAGCTGCATAATGTATGGGCCGTAGAGCCATAGTTTTACGATTTTCTAAACAAGTATATATGCTCAGCTTTTCTTCTTCCGAAAAAATATTTCCAATATTATTAAATGCATTATTAAAATGATTATATAAATCATAAAAACATTCAGGTACTTTATTTATTAAAGGGTTATCACCCTCTAAAATATTTATCCACTTTACAATCGGTTTCATCAATTGAAGAATTTGTTGAAGATTATTCCAAAATTCTTCATTTAGTACAAGAGCACGAGAAGCAGGTTTCCATAATGTAATAGCCTTTGAAGAAATTGCTAAAGCCTGAAGATTATGCTTATTAACACAAAGACTGTCAATCATAATTATAGTAGATTCATCTTGAGATTGAATTTCTTTGAAAATCGCTGACATTATTTGTACTTCTTTTATTCCTTTTACAATAGCTGTTGCACTTGTCACCAAAGTTTCAACAGTTGCTTGACTACCAATATCTTTCATGAGTAGGTTAAGAATGTGAGCAGCACAACCATAACAATACAATTTGTCGACATTATACTTTTGATCTATCAAAGTCCAAGCACTTTTCATTGCAGCACAATTATCTGTACAAATTCCGATAACTTTTTTAATTCCCAAAGCATCAATAACACTTCCTATTTTTTCAGAAATATATAAGGCAGTTTGTGATTCGGTTCCAGTTGGAAATGTTTTGAAAAAAACTGGCGCTGGGGTTGTTACAATAAAATTGATGATTCCTTCTTTGCGAATATTAGACCATGCGTCACATTGCACTCCAACAGTAGTAGCAGATTCAATTTTTTCATTAACCATATTTTGTGTTCTAACGAATACTGAATCTAAAAGATTATTTGATATTTGATTTCTTGATGGCAAATTAAATGAAGGCCGTAATGCGTTAAAAAATTTTAGCCAATATGGATTTTCTGTTATACATAATGGTGTACCAGATGCATAAATCGCTTCTGCAAGTAGTTCTTGTAGAGAATCTTCATCTTTTTTTGACATTTTATCACAAAAACTATCGATTGTATTTTTTTTATAGTTATTGCTACAAACACTTATATTATTTGGTAAATTTTCATTTGAAATCATTGAAGTACTTGCTCTATTGTCTGCTTCATTCAAATCTTCAATAGTAAATGAGTCGTCTGTGCTGTTTAGATGAGAATTATTTCGTTTACGAGGTTTACATGGTTTTAAAAGTTTCCGTAAGTCTTGAAGACAACTTCTACACTCTTTATAAAGATGTTTTCGCATGCGAGTAATGTTTTCTGCATACTTTTTCTTGCAATAGTTACATGAATACGATTTTAATTTTTGGTTAGGTTGCAGAGGTAATGCAGAGAAATGTTTATATATTGATTTGTTCTCCCCCATTGCACCAAGTTCTCAATGAAAATCCTTATCTACAAATTGAATTTTCTTATATTAAATATTATCAGTATTTTTAATAAACAAATAAAAATGAAAATATATACCTGATAGAACAAATAAACAGTTGTATGCCGTTGGGAATTCTAAACTGTGATTGGACATGTATTAACCAATCAGAGATCAGCATTTTTCTGACCGGTATGGTAAAACAGGCTTGGTCATTGACGCGTTTTTTACCGGTAATTTACGGTAAATTTACCCGTCAATTACCGATTCACATCTCTACTCGAGAGCATTAATGCCTGGTTTGTATCTTGTGAGCAATTATCGACGGCGGAAATGATTTTTATTCATATTGAGTTCCCAACCTCGAATTTTGAAGTTTAAGGTGAACTGTAAAAATTATAAAATTTGCAATTATATGCCAAATATGATGTTTTAGGATGTACAATGATTTTTTTCATTTTTTGGAAGGTATAAAGGTCTGTTACGAAAAACAATAATCATCCAAAATTTCTTAAAAAAGAGTTATTAGTTACTTATTATTTATGTCTTGAAATAAAGATGGCCGTTCAAACATGACTATAGAAAATTGAAATTTATTAATTTTTTAAAAAATTTTTGATGATCATTATTATTTGTAATAAACCTTTGTACCTTTCTAATAATAATGAAAATTATTTTACATCCTAAAACATTATATTTTGAGTGTAATAACGAATTTTAGAATTTTTTTGATTCAGCCAAAACTTCAAAAATGTATGATTGGGAACTCAATATGAATAAAAACCATTTCCACCGTCGATAATTGCTCATAAGATACAAACCAGGCATTAATGCTCCCGATTGTACTACACGACACAAGTGGTGTCTCATTTTGGTCTGTAGGAGAATATAGGGAATCGTATGCATAACCTCAAAACAACTAAAAATAATAGTCACCTCTACAATCTAGATTTTAAAGTAAAGTAAAAATAATACTATTTCATTAAATTTAAGTTTTTTTAAATTAATTAATTAATTAATTTATTTATTATTAGCTTCAATTAATGTTATTATTCAATTTCTGCGATAACTGTCATTTTGACAACTTAATGCCGGTTAATTAACCAGTAAAGTAGCAGACAAAATACTCACGAACAAAGTTGTTGGTAATTTTTCATTATCAATGATAGGCAAGCAGACACCGAAGTGTCCATTCTTTCTCTATCTACGCATTTTGGTGTTTGCTATGTATTTTGAATGGAAAGTATCCGGTATTTATTTCTATTTGTTTCGTTTTTAATAAGCAACTACATTATCGCTTCAAATTGAGGATATATGTATATATTTGTTTTTGTTACACGAAAATACAAGTTTGTGATGGAGTTATAATAAGATTGCAAATAAATTTTTCCACTCATTTTCTTAAATAGTTAATGGAATAGTAATTTTGAAATCATTATCTGAATAATTGTTAATCGGAGAAAATGTTACAAATACTGCAATCAAGTTCTAGATGATGAAGAAATTATTTGAAATTAGACAATTGTACAAGTTGTTGCACAGCATTCTCTATAACATTGATAGAGGAAAAATTCCAATATTGTATATTTTCTCACAATGGTTGGCAACTCATTAGAATCACCTCTATTCCATCAATCTACAGGTAGATGGGAAATTTGTCAATGGGTATCGCATATCAAATTGTCCAGGATTATGATACCGATATTTTTGATTTTATTTATTTTACCCTTAATAGCTCATTACTATTTGTCTAAGGTTAGTAAGAATAATTTTATTTAAATAAGTTTAATTACATACTTACTAAGTTTATAAAATTTTTATCATAATTTATTGTTGCATTTAACCATAGGTAGAATCAAATACATCAGGCATGGATATTCACCGAACTAAACTTGAAGCATTTGAAGATTTCACGTCAATGAAAGCATCGGATTTAAAATTTCGAATTGAAGAAATGTTAAGAATAAAAGTATCAGTAAGTAATGAACTTCGAGATCTGGAAGGAAAACGTCAAAGACTGCAAATGGAAGTGAGTAGTTTTACTCAGAAGATTGATGACCTCAAACAAGATTTAGTTCATCAACAAACAGATCTTGACCGTTTGAAAATGAGCTTAATTCAAGCCCAAGTAGCTCAAAGAGAAGCAATAGAACGTAATACTCCAGAATTAGCACCTCCTAAAAAAATGTTAATCAATTCATTGCCTGCCATTCTTTCTAGTCCAGATTCTCGTGGTTGTAAAATGTTTAATTGTTTTGATCATAGTCGATGTGCTTTAACAAGTGGTTTTCCAATTTATTTGTATGATCCAGATTTATTTTCAACATTGAATCCAGGTTGGGATATTGATGGATTTATCAGAACAACAACCAAACAAACTCTTGGTTATAATCCACATTTGACGACTAATCCAGCTGAAGCTTGTATTTATATCGTATTAATTGGAGAAGTTTTAGCCGTGCCCGCTGTCAGTTTATCAGCTTTATCAAATCTATCAACAAATTCAGGTTCATCAATTCTTCAAAAAATAAATCTCAAAAAACTACACTCTCTTCCATATTGGGGTGGAGATGGTCGAAATCATTTACTGTTGAATTTAGCAAGACGAGATTTGTCATTAAATTCTGGAAATTTATTTGATAACGTTAATAGTGGAAGAGCAATTATAGTGCAGTCAACGTTCACTAGAAACCAGTTTAGAGAAGGATTTGACTTAATTGTTCCACCAATACTTGGACCTCCAGGTGACTTTTAATTCATTTTATTAATTAATTAAATCACTAGTTATTTATATACGATACAGTGACATATTATTTAATACGTATAAATAAATATCACAGGTGGAGATATTTGGCAAGAATGTCCTCAAATGGTTCCAGCAAGACGAAAATATCTTTTATCCTTTCAAGGTGAAATGAAAATTACAAAATCCTTTACATCTCGTCAAATGGATGATGCAGAAATAGATTTAGAAAGGTTAGAAGATGAAAATAGCCTAGATAACTTTATCATCCAACACCTGAATGACATGACAACGGAAGTGACATTAGATAAATTTTTCATCCAATTTGAATGCATTCCAGCTACTGAGATACATAAAACAGATAAGGCATTAGATTGGTCCCTTTGTGGAACTGAATCTTCAAGAAAAGAAATTCTACAAGATTCCACTTTTGCATTAATTTTAGCACCAACAAATACGAGTTTTATTTCTACTTCTTCGATACAAGCTAGACTATATGAAGCTCTACGATCTGGAGCTATTCCTGTAGTATTAGGAGGTGATCAAGTACTTCTGAGTTACGATCAAGTGATAGATTGGAAGAAAGCTGTAATTTTTTTACCAAAAGCTCGGGTAACAGAAATGCACTTTCTTCTTCGAGCAATTCCTGATAATGATTTACTATTTATGCGACGACAAGGACGGTTAATTTGGGAAAGATACATGGGAACGGCTCAAGGAGTTGTGGATACGATTATTACTTTAGTAAGAGAACGCTTAGGTATTCCACCATTACCTGCGATGCAATCTTCTAGTCCTAGTGTTTTCAATGACAGTTTCGTACCTATTAAATCTGATGCTATAATAGCTGAATCTGAAGCTGAAGAAAGTTTAGGGCCATTAGAGCCTCCATACCCGTCGCCAGCGTTCAAAAAGAATTACACCACAATGTTAATACATGGATACGAGATTTGGAATGTGTGGGCTAATCCTTTTTATCTTTACCCTCAGTTACCATTCGATACTATACTTCCTAGTGATGCTAAATTCATCGGTAAGTTAATTAGCTGTTAATATTTTATTAAATTACGATATTAGTAATTTTCGATTAAATAAAGTATGAGTGCACTTCTGAAGGTTCTCACATTTCATTTTTAAATAATTTTGGTCTGTTATTGACAACATTTAATTTTTAGTAATAGTTTCCAATTATTACTAACAATAATCAGTTATTGTTATTGATACCTAACTGTTATTCACAGTATTTCATTGGTATTAATAATACTCAATTATTTTAAGGTATCTTATACTGTCAGTAATAATAATTGATTCTCTTTTATCACTACTAATCATTGTTAAGTGTCATTAAAAATATATTTTTCACCAGAAATATTTAAAATAAATCACTTCATGTTGACTTAGACGTCAATCATATGATAAGATTCGAAGTGACATAAATATTAATTTTCTTAGTTTACTTGTTTGAACCAAAAAGTGATTTAACTGAATCATGCTGAAATTTAATTAACTTCCCAGTGGGAAGTTTTTGTAATGGGTCTGATTTTGCGAATTCCGAATTTTGACATATCTCCACTTATAAAAAATGAGTTTAAATGTGGCCATATACGATCAGATCAGTACTATGATATATCAACTAGATGCTAACAGATTAAGGGTATTCAGATCTGTTTGATTCTGATTAGAATTGAAAAAAGTTGATAATTTTGTATAGACAGAAAAATCAGATCTTATCAGACATATTTATATGAAGAGAAAAGGTTATTAGTCTGAGTCTTAAATCTAAAAAATTTTATTATCTGAATAAATTTGAAGAAAAATACATCTTTTTTGTTTAAAAAAAATTCAGATTTAATCAGATCGAAGAAAAATTAATCATTCTTGTAAAGGATTTAATAAGAATAAATAGCCGCAGTTATACAAATAGATGATTTAAAAATAGCATCTTAAGTTTTCTGGGTCAGCGTAGTAGTGACTATGCAAGTCTACAGTTATGAGGGTTCCAGGATCGAGTCTACCTAAGTTTCATTACTTTACCTCAAAAATTATTTTCAGCACAGATACCAAATCGTAATCTTGACATTAAAATATTTATGCAGTAATAACTTTTCGGGTTGCACTCAAACTACTACAGAGCACTGATATTCGTTATTTTTTTATTATGTCATTAATTAATAATATATGTATACTATATATTAAAGTAAAATTCATTGAAATTAATTTTACTATAGTGAAATTCTTTATTTCAATTTTCAAATGAAATGCATCAATTTTTTATTAGATAGCTAATCAATTGCATTATTTACTATAAATCAATATATACTTTTTAGGCTCAGAAACGGGTTTTCGACCAATTGGGAAAGGCGCAGGAGGAGCAGGAAAAGAATTTAGTGAATCATTAGGTGGAAATTATCCTAGAGAACAGTTTACAATAGTAATTCTCACGTATGAGAGAGAACAAGTTTTGATTAATTCTTTAGCAAGATTGTATGGTTTACCATACTTAAATAAAGTTTTAGTTGTTTGGAATAGCCCGAAACCGCCTATTGAAGACCTTAAATGGCCTGATATTGGAGTACCGATTGTAGTTATAAAATCAATAAGGAATAGTTTGAATAATCGATTTTTGCCATTCGATACAATTGAAACTGAAGCTGTTTTATCTGTTGATGATGATGCTCACTTAAGACATGATGAAATCATGTTTGGTTTTAGGTAAATCATAAATATATCCACTTCTCATATACTAAATAATAATAATTCATATTTTATTTATTTTATTATTATCATTGCTGATACATTTTGCTTCAGAGTTTGGAGAGAACATAGAGATCGAATAGTTGGATTTCCCGGACGTTATCATTCGTGGGATCAAAATTATCACAATGTTTGGAATTATAATTCCAATTATTCATGTGAATTATCGATGGTATTGACTGGAGCCGCCTTTATTCATAAACATTATATGTATCTTTATACTTATTGGATTCCTCAAGCTATAAGGGATAAAGTGGATGAGTACATGAATTGCGAAGATATTGCTATGAATTTTTTGGTATCACATTTAACACGTAAACCACCTGTTAAAGTAAGTTGTAATTATTTCAGTTTGTGAACTGATTAACATTATTCAGCTGACAATTTTTAATTGTAGGTCACATCCAGATGGACATTCAGATGTCCAGGTTGTCCAGTTTCTTTATCAGAGGACGATACTCATTTTCAAGAGCGTCACAAATGTATTAACTATTTTTCACAGGTAAACAAATGAAAATTTTTATTTGATTGTCTTCTGGGTTAAGTTTTGATTAGGAGGCACCTTTAAAACAATTCATTATGTGAAGAATTATTAAAACGAGTACATCATTTGATTAGAGTCGCAAGAAGGAAGGTGTAGAAGAAGAAAAAGCTATGTTCAACACCTACAGACACGATTTAAAGCCAAAATATACAACTATTCAATATAGTTTAAGTAGTAGAGCAGTCAGCATGTAACTAAAAGATCATCTTCGATTCCCGGTCTTGACGAAATATATGTATATTTTTCGCAAAAAATCGTTCTGCGTCAGTTGTAGAGTTGTCTTTATGAGGAGAAAATTAAAAAGTTAAGGTGTCTCCTTATCCACACCTTGTTCTATCATTTTATATATAAATTGGCTTATATACCTATTCTATTTTTCAGGTGTTTGGATATATGCCTCTACTGAATACACAATACCGTGCCGATTCAATCTTATTTAAAACACGAATATCTCATGATAAACAAAAATGTTTTAAATTTATTTAAATTTAGAATTATCATAATTTAATGTTAATGAATATTATTAACAATAAATTTTTTAAATGGCGAATCAATTTTTCATAAAAATGTGAATCAATGGTAATGTTTAAAAAATTTTTTTTATATTTATGAATGTTTGGTTTAAAGCAGAATTTCATTTGCCTATTATTAAAAAAATGAGCTATTTGAAAAAATGACGAAAAATGATAAACAAAAAACAAACATTTAACATCTAACATTGTTTGTGTTCGTTTATTATCAGACTTTTTCAAACACTTGTAAACTAAATATAACAATAACATTGTACATAGTTTAAATATATAAGAATTTTTTTTATTTTAGCTATTTAATAATTTTTGAATAAAAATTCTTTTCCATGAAAAAATGAGTACTTTCTTAAAAACATAATTATCCTTATTAACTTCCCATTAGGAAGTTATTGTAATTGGGTCGATTGGTGAAATTTGAATTTTCATTAAATCTCCACGTTTCAAGATATTTGCAAGCATACTGACATATTTTTAGAATGTATGTATGTATGTACGGACGTCAGCATTTTTTTCGTTTTCGATATCTTAAGAACGGATCAAGATATCAACTTGAACCAAAATTAATTCGAAAGATATTATTATAAAGAAGACTTGAAAGAAATTTGAACGAATTCGATCGAGCCGTTTTGTTTTTTTATAACAAAATAACTAATATAAAAATGAAAAGATTAGCTATTTAAAATACTTTTAAGCCAAACAATAACAATTTCATTTGAAAATTAAGTCGATATTGACTAGACATTATTGTTCACAGCCAAATATGACTCTTAACAATTACGCATTGTTTATAACAACATGAATTTGTTATAAACAATTGAAAATTGTATTTAATGAATAAGTAATGTGTATATCACATGTATTTGGATGTTTTCAACAAACATTCATTACAACTATTTAAATTTGTTATAAACAATTACTAATGGGAAAAAAAACTAAAATTGGTTTAAAAAGAATTTATAAAGCATTGAGTGTAGACTCATTTATATGATTTTCTGTAAAATAATAAAAAAATAATAACGGATACGATATTTTTTGTATTTATACATTTTATAAGCATTTTTTTTTCTCAAATGTCTATTATCTGAGTTTCTGCATAACACCAAATGTTTCCGTATCAAGCTCTCGATGTTTATTTTTCTTTTCGGGTTGAAATAGTAAACTCACAAATACTTGCTATACGACGGATTGCTTTCTAATCATAAATTTATTTTATGATGGCTCGGGATGTGAATGCCCCCATGTTGCCACTATCTTTTCGGATAGATATATAATTTCGCACTACGAAGAAACTTGGAAATACTTTTGACGATTTCCACCCTACCCTGGTTAAATACTTCTATAACGTCTGATAAAAAAAACTTAGGTTTTTTTATAAGATGTTATATAAATTTAAATTAAATAAATTAATTAATTGAATTTAAATATCTTATAAATTTATAAGAATGAATCGGAAAATTGTATCAGAAATATTACACTTTTCACAAGTATCTATAAGACATTTTCTTATAAATTCTTATAAAACAAGTGATATTTCTGATGCAATTTTCCAATTCATTCTTATAAATTTATAAGAATCTATAAGCAAGTTTTATTTTGTTTTATATTGTTTTTTATCGGAATTCATAAGAAATTATTGAGAATATGCTGATCGCTTTGTATAAGAATCTATAAGCGCGATTTGTATCGTTTTTTATCGGAATTTATCTTCTTACCACAAAAAGAATAGTTTATCCAAAGGAAATTTTAATTCACTCTAGAAGTTTTTTGTTTATACAGATTTTTTGTTAACTTCTCAGTGAGAAGTTACAGTAATGGGTCCGATTTTGTGAATCCCGAATTTCGACATATCTCTACGTTTTAAAGTCTCCAGAGTCGAATACGATCGTTTTCCAGTGGACGTCTGTGAGTGTGTATGTACGTATGTATGTGCGTTCGTTCGGAATTGTTCTGGTCGATTATCTCAAGAACAAAAAATGATATCGGTGTGTGACCAATTGCATTCAACGCGTAATTACGTCACTTAGAACTGATTAGATTTTCAGCATCATCGGTCCAGCCATTTTTTTTTGGAGAACCAAAAAACTAACAAAAATGGAAAATGACCTAAATTTCGCAATTTATAAATCATACCATTATGTTCTGACTTGGTCGGAAGTATTTCATCCATATCCTGACATTTTTCTCCCCACCTACTAATTAGACAACTCAAGATTTCTCCTGCCAACTTATCTACGCCAATTAGACTGCTCTAATTAATTCTTAGGTGTAGATATCCCTTCTCAAAGGATCTAGAAGCTTCGAGAACGTAGAGTTTTCGGGAATAACGGTCCGTTGTCTTCAGTATTCGTCGGTTAATGATAGTATCCGTACGTAACTCGGACTCGGACGACTCTTAGGCATCATCGGACGATGCTACCTACAGACAACTCGTTGTAACACTCAACTCGGTACGTGTGTACTAGCAGAGAGCTCACGCAGTCGAACTCTCTAGTGAAAACCCAGACAAATCCTCAGAATATTCCTCAGACATGCAATAACTCAACAGTTAGTCATCTACAGTAATGACTGTGGACTCACCAATCAGCCTAACTCTCATCAAACATCATCAGTAAGCTCACGTTGGTCCGCATCAGCACCTTCCTTACAAAAGGTGCGAACGATGTCGGCTTCGACGCCTCACGGCCTCAAGATTCAGAAAATAGCATTAAAGACGCTATAATAATCAATAATAATTGTTAATAATATGGAATTGTGTCCATAGCAATTAAACATTGTTACTAACAAATGATTATGGTAATAATTATATAAAAAATTTTAAATGGTTATAAACAATAAAAATAGGGACCCATGCGATGTATTTAAATTCTCCCAACGCGTAATTTTTCCGTTTTCAAAAAAAAAGTTACCAATCGTATGACATGAATGAAATCTCACTTTTTTTGTTTATAACAATTAAATCTGTTATAAATATTAGGAAACGGGTTGTATGCAAGGTATTGGAGTTTATCTTACAGGAATTTTCTTTCATTACATGGAGAAAAATTTCATAGAAAAATTCTCATGCTCGTCACTATAAAACGAGTGCAACTGACGAGAAATGAAATTTTTCTAAAACCAATTAGGAAAAACTTTATTGACAAATAGTAATTTTTAATAGAAACATTATAATTTTTAATAGAAGCATTTGAATTTATATGAGAAAGCGTAGGACAAATTGTAAAAGAGCATAAAAAAAATTGTAACACAGCATAGGAAAAATTTTATAGCATCCTTGTCTGTAAGAGATTCCTAAACTTTTTGTAATGAAATAGTATAAAAATTACTTGAAATCTTATATATTTTATAATGTGGCATGGGAATTTTTCTCCGGCACTTTAGTAATCGGTCGCCACATGTATCAGGTATGTGCTCGGTTTTATGTAAATAAACACAAAAAAAAAAGAGCTTGACAACATTCGTGCATTTCCGCTATTTTTCGAGACGTGTTAGGACAGAAAGAAATAAGATTTTGTTTACGAAGTACGCGACAGTAAAATTATTTTTCGTTATACCCGCACGGAAAGTTCACTTTTCCATTGGAGAGGGGTTGAACTTTCCACGCAGGTATGACGAAAAATCATATTCAGCCCTAGAGAAGACAATTAGACTAGCTTAAACCACGTGTTTACTACCCTCGCCTTCGGCTCGGGTTGTAATTTTACACGTGGTTTGAGCTACTTTCCCTCCCTAGGTGTGAAATGTACTATAACCTTCAGAGTGAGTGGTTGTACGGTGCTAAGTTTTATAACGTTCTGATAGTCCAGTCAAATGAGGGAAATGGGATAATTTTGGTTTGCTGCTCAATTTTAGTTATCCAGTGCAATTATGAAAAAATTAGAACAGATAGAAAATTTAGAACAGATAGAAAAATTAATTATTTGAGAAAAAGAAAAAATTTATGTCTTTTACATAATTACTTCAATCGAGCTATATGAATGACTTTCGGTCATCACGAACGTGCGAAAATTGGAATACATGTTCTCAGAGGCGTATAGAACATGTATGTACATTTTTAGATCGATTGAGATAATTATGTGGAGATATAAATTTTTTCTCTCCCAC